TTGCCTGCTTGACGGATTGATGGCAATGATTAATGATGTGGCCAGCGTGGCATTGGCATTGCGTGACAAGTTTGTTAGTAAATTGAACACATCATGGATGCGGTTTGTGCTGCCCCTTGCAGCTTGCTGCTGACAACTTTGCCCGACACGATTCCGATTCTGAGCATCATTAATCTTGCGACATCGTCCACTGCACGACTGTACTTTGATCCGCTGTGGCCAGCATTAACTCTGGCAGCGGTAGTCGAAGTTGCTAAGATTCGCTGTGGATTTGCCAATGATTTCCCACGGCGATCGGCGACTCTTAAATCGTTTTTAATGAAGTTGTCATAAACTGGACGAGAACGCCGCAGAATCGCCATAATGCAGAAAGGAGCGCCCTGGCCCTGGCCCTGTCCATCGTTATCCCAAAGAGCAGCGGTGCGTGAATTTCCAGGACACGATCCTTGCTGATCACCGACCGTCGCTGACCACAGGAACAAACAGATTTTAATGGGAAATCAAAGGGAAATTTATTGGAGAGAGCAGATCATTGTTCTCCGACTTGAATCGAACGAACCCTCACGACGTTTGCATATCGCGAGGCAACTCTCCCTCTCCACCTTTCCCTCGCTACCCAATCTACCTCAAAGATTAATGAGATTTCCTATGGGTGAAATATCCATACATTCGAACAAAGATTTGTATATTTTTTTATGTTTCTATTCCATTTCTTTATCTTGCTTTTTTTTTTGGGTCCTTTCCTGCGTTTTTTGTGTGGATTTTTTATGGCTCGTTTAGGTGATTGGTAAACAGGGCGCTGTCTCGTAATTTACATGAAATTACTTCATTTGCCGGGGCCTGGTGCCCTTCATTTGGGTGTCTTGTGGCCGCCGTGTCAGGTCGAGCAAACAAATCGTGAGAATGCAAATCAGTCAGGGTCTGATCGTCTTCCATCAAAGTCAGTTCGAGCTCGAAGCCCGAGCCTCAACTAATCAGCGATCCATCGAACTGGGGCAGTTCGATCGGCTCTTTCGTGTGAGTAGCAAGTAAGGAGCAGGCAGTAGGGAGTAGTGGAAGCAGCTGCTGACCAATGGACACGCTCGCAATTAGCCATGAAATTTTCCATCTTGCAAGGACCCTTGCTCGCTTTGTACTTTGTCGCTGGACAGTGAAAAATGCCACATCCATGTGCAAAATGATTCATTCTTGCATTTTTGCTAATATCTACTTGTAACCAGGTTATGAGTTATGAATGGACACAGGCAAAAGATCTTTGCCGCTCTATAATTTAGTAGAACTCAATTGATTTCATATGCTTCTGCATGATTCCATTTTTGATCGGTGATCTATGCAACAGAAAGGGAATAGTAGAAATGATATTTACTCAAGCTGAATGCTTGTACTAGGCAAGGATTGACCAATGCAGCGGAATAATCTTGAACGGCTGAATAATCTTCCCGCTCTGATTGCCGCTCCGGCTGCATTTTCCGCTTGCAGGAGCAGTGGAGCAGATCAGTGCCTGGGGTCTCGTAAATCATTATGGCAAATGTCATTCGGCGACTTGACATGCTGCATAACAAGTTCCGCTCTGCTCCTTTCCTTTCCCTTCATTCGTTTTGTTTTTTTGGTTAAAAAACCGAGTTGCATTATTTCGAATCTCAATTTTTTGTTGGTGCCTCGCTGTTGTTTTTTTTTTATCTGGCTGTCAAATTACTTGAGGGCGCCGCAATGTCTGAGAATTATTTGTGGGTACGCGAGGAGGTAGATAGCGCAGTTGCAACAGACAGCGACAGCGACAGCGACAGCAGACACAAGACACGAGAGGAGGACACAGAGGACGAGAGGGCGAGAGGACGCGGGTCGTCTTAGGACCTTCGGGCACTGCAATGCAGACAACTTCTTTTTTTTAACCCTTTTTTTGCTGTAGTTTTCTGGTGCTGTATTTTCGGGTGGATAAACCTTTTTTTTTCCAACTCTTTCTGCCCGAAACCTTTCTCTTTCTGAGCGCTGTGAGAAATGCAAATTCGGCGACGAGGAAGAGGTTTTGGAAAAAAGTTGTTAAATTTGTTAGCAGAGCCACTGGAAACTGGAAGGAGCAAAAAAGCTGCACTAATTTGATTTCTTCAAAATGCAGTCTTGAGAAGGGTCTGTCGCTCTCTCTCTCACTCTCTCACTCTCTCTGTCCCTGCTGGCTGTCTGGGTCTCCTTCTTGGTCTCAGTGTGGCTGGGCCCTGGCCATGGGTAGGAGGAGGGTGATGCCTGGTCTCCGATCTCCGATCTGATGACATTGAGGACCGTTGCCAGAGCCATTTTTTGGTCATTTATCAAATTTCAAGCAAAAGCAGATCAGTCCCAGCACCGTCTCCGTCTCCATCTCCATCTCCATCTCTTTCTGCATCTCTTTTTGCTCTCTATGAAGTGAATATCACAACAAAACATCAGGGACATCGGGGACATCGGAGTCTCTCATTCTGGAGTCCTTTTTGGGCGCGCGTTTTGTGTTCCTGTCAATCAAACGGCATCAATGATTCTTACCCATTTGTACTTGCCTCATGTTGCAAGCTGTCATTCCGCTGCACTCCGTTCCTTCTCTCTCTCTCTTTCTCTCTCGATCTGGATTCTTCCCACATTTGGCATGCAAATTTCAAGCAAATTCCCTAATCTGCAATATTTATTGCTTACACGCCAGAATCAAGTTCCCGCAATCAACGGCGGCCCCGAAGTGCAGTTTTGCACAAATTAGGCAAATCCGGGGCCACCCATATGCCAATCCGCATGCATATCCGTATGAGTCAAGGGTTTATGCCTAATGCATTTGCAATTAGTTTGCCAAACCCATCGGGAACCAAAGCAAACCCTTGCCCCGTCACCGTCACCGTCCTCGCCTGCGACTCCCATTGGGACTCGAATTGAATTTATAATCGATTTAGATCAGTTTTGCTAAACTGCCAAACACACACACACACACAAAGTGGCCTCCGTCCGCCTGGTCCTGGGCCCAAAATCCACCCCGAAGACAAGGCATCCTCCTGTAACCCTTCCATCAAAACTTCCCGTTCTCCGCTGCCGCTGCCGCTGCCGCCTGCCGCTGCCTCTGTTGTTGCTGTTAATTTTGTTTTTAATGAAGCGCGAATTACAAAAACATGGAAATCGTATCAATTACAGAGACAAAAATCTCTGGCCCAGTATCAGCCTCAGTATCTGCCATCAAAAGCGCAAACATGGGATTTGAATGGCTGCAAAATGATCCTCCATGGGTCAGTCAGTCATCTGAGATACTGAGGATATGGCTTATTGAGGAAGTTTCTATCTGATGTGTAGAATTTATAGAGGCAACAGACAGGGAACTCAAGCTAGTGCTGCAATGAACCACTTTTCGTGCTAAGGAAGTTTAGAGACTCGTAGTATGATGTCCGCCATGATGAGCCGTGGGGTACGGCAAGTCAATGGCAATCGAAGGGGCACAATGACATAACAAATCCATCGATATGCAGGACCACAGCTGCCTGGGACTCTTGACGGACTCTCAAGGAGCAGCGTGATCGAGCAACCGTTCGTGAAGTGCCCAAGCGGCAGGGAAAACGACTTCCATGAACCACGGCTGACACCCCTGCCCTCGTACACCCACAATCCTTAAGGAATACGCACTGGAACTGGGACTGGGAATGGGAATGGGAATCGCATTGCCATTCGTATTACCATTGAATGGAAATCAATGGGTCAAAAGTTGATGCGAGAGCTCGTAAAATCTGAAGATCGACAGGCGACGTCACATAAACAGTGCGCGCATAAAGACGGAGCCCGAACGGCTGCTAATGTAAGGCACGGGACCTCATCGGAGGCATGGCCGAGAAGGTTGTCGTTGCCGGCATCTGGACAAATATTTACCGAAGCTTCGCTCGTAAACTGCTCGCCTACGCACAATGGACCCGATAGATACCTTTTGCGATCCCGAGACCAAGTACAAATCAAAGTGAAAGTAATGACCAGCGAAGAGGGAGAGGGAGAGAGTGAGTGTGAGTGTGAGTGTGAGAAGGCTAGAAAGACTCCCGCTGGACAGAGACATTAGGCTACTGTTTTTGTAGTCCCGACTTCTGCTGCTGCTTTGGCTTTGGCTTCTGCTCCCTCTCCCTCTCCCTCTCCTCTCTTTTATTCAACGACAATTGTTCCACATCTTTTTTGGACAACACACGAGACAAATCTGGGCTAAGACACCTTGCGACGTCGCCGTGTGGGTTTCCTTTCTTTTTTACAGTTCCCCGACAGCTGGCTGGCCCTGGCCCATTGTCCACCGCTGGCAGAGGCAAAGCCAGGACGAGGACAAAGAAGTTGTTCGACGGACCGTTTGGCAGGGATTTACCTGCTTAGAAGAGAAATGCAGCGCAAGATGAAGAGAAAGCTGGAATGAAACGGAAGAGAGCAGATCAGGCTCAACAGGCAGCCGCTCTCTTACTTTCACTGGCTGGCGCTGCCTGGCGGCGAGCGGCGGAAGTTGCTCTCACATAAACTGAAGCTACAATCCAAAGCAAAGAGAAGAGAGCGCGCTCACTCTCTCAATGGTGCACAAGCGCGGTGGTGGATTGCACGCATTGGCGCGCATGCTCAGTAGCAACATTTGCCAGCAACATTTAATTACCCTGTGGGTCAAAAGGTATATATAACTATATGAAACGATATGTGCACTTCAACGAATATATGGTCTGTAATTTCTTGGATATTCTGTTGGTCTTCTAACATAATTAAGCAGGGGAAAAAAATGTATTTATTTAGTCTGGTGCTGCAGCAGCTGCTGGGAATACATAAATCTTGGCATTACTTAACGCAAAGAGGGTATTTTAACGTCGATGCTCCACCGTGGTAAGCACGTTTACCAGCAACATGTGTACGGATCAACAGCAACATGGCTGGGCAACAAAACGTGGCCGTCGGGTGGGTACGGTGGGAAAACGGATATTTCCAATATTCTTTGATTTCGTTTTTTGATATGAGTTTGTAATAGTCCTCTTTCGGCCGCGGACAAGGAAACAACAGAAAAAGTGTCGCATTTTTTTTTCTGAATTCAGAAAAGTAATGATAAAACATCCAAATTGATCATTTCGTCATAGACCAAAAAACTCTAAAAAAAATCTTCGCAAAAGCTAAATTTCCGTTTCCCACGCAACAAGCAACAAAACTTTTGGAAAGAGAAAAACAATTTGTTTTTTTTTGGTGTCTGGTTCAAATTTAAAATCTATAAAAATCCGTTGATTTGGTAAACTCGTGTTGGAAATCCTTCAAAAACGTGTACGGTGCCCCAGGATTGAGACAGAGAGCTGTGGCGCAGGACACAAGGCGACCTGGTCGCAACACAGATCCAATTTCCAGGTGAGTTATCGCACTTTGAAGATTAGGCAAACCTGATCAAACGGTCATTCGAAACGGGACTCAATGAAACCCAAGGAATGATCGATCCATCAATTGATCGCTTGATAAGCTCGGTCCCTTCAATCCCTGCTCGGTTACCCTTGGCACACCTGGCACACACACACACACACACACACACACACACACATTGACACATAGGCACAAAGGGGCACGCACTCACACACTTACAATTACGATCGCACCCATGAGGCGGTTGTCGTGTTTGTCTTTGCTCTAGCTCTAATTTTAATTTAGCCAGAAAAAAAGGCTGGCGATGGAGAAAAAAAAACCCTAAGACCCTAACCCCTCGGAGACGGAGACCCAGATCCAGATCAGGGCGGAAGGAGACCCACAAGAAAAGGGGTGGTGCGTCGTCGTCTAATACATTTAATTTGTTGCTGTTTTTTTTTTGTATTCCTTCACTGCTCTCCTGCTACTCCTGCTCTCTCACTCGCTGCTACCCCGAGCCGGGGCTAATTCTTCAGGCACAAGTCACACGGAGTGTGAGGAGCAGGGAAAAATGAATTTTCTGCCAGGAGAAAGATCGAATCATCTTTTGGGTAGGAAGAATAATATTTTTTTTGCTCGCCTCTGCCCCGACTCCGACTCCCCGACTCCCCGACTCCCCGACTCTGTTGTTCTCTCCTGCAATTCTGCTCGGCTTTTCATCTCTCTGGGGTGACGTTTATGGATTACATGAAAATCCATTTCTCTAGACCTGTGTGTGCGAGTGTTTGTGTGTGTGTGTGCTGCATCTAGACTCTAGAGGGTACACAAGACACATAGACAAAGGCAGGGGATCTGGGACGGATCTTTTGTGTTCCCCTTTGGCTTTGCCGATTGCCGATTGCCGCTTTTTGCAAAATGGCATCATTATGCTGGGGCGTAATTGTTGCACGCAGACAAGCACAGATCTATGCTTACACAGATACACACAGATACAAGGATACTCACGCACGGGGGAAAAGGAGACACGATGAGCCGCTGAGCAGGATCCTTGGCCGACTCGCTCAATTTTATGGTTGGCAACCGCAGCGCTTTAAAAATCTGTTTCGAAATTAGCATAAGTTTAATTTCAATTTAAATGCAAACCTGAAATCCGCATAAAGCGCGAAAGAACCTGGATGACTGAGGCCTGAAGCATAAAAGAAGACGAGAACGAGAACGAGGACGAGGACGAGGGACCTCGGCTCCTTAGGAGTACGTGAAAAACTCGTTTGCCGCAAAAACAATTTGCAAATGATTCCTGCTTTGTTTGCTCGCTTGCTTCCTTCATTTGTTGTTCGTTTTTTGCATCAAAAATTGTCTGGAAGTTCCCAAAAACAAACACACACAAAAACTAACCAAGCACGAAAGAAGGAAACCAGAATCCGATCCCCTGTTTGCTGCCAGCTGCCCATCGAGCAGACCTCTACCAAGATCCAGAGATGATCATCAGCTAGGCACTCCATCCATTGATAGATACTTAAATCCTTTATTTTATTTTCCACATCAGGGACATGCCAACCATGACACGCATGCATCGGCACTCCAGCTCCAATGCCGTGGTGGAGGAGACGCGCGGCCGTCGGCGCGATGTTGGGGCCGAGGGAGAGGCGAATAAGGAGAACTACGGCGTTCACTTTATGAGCAGCCCCTTCGGCAACGCCAGCCTGATTGCCCTGCAGGACCTGAGCAATGTGCACGGCAAGAGTCCGCAGCGGCGAAGCTTCAGCGAGGGCAGTGGACCGCGTCAGGCCACGCCGCAGCTGGCGGCTCTACGCTGCCTGCCCCGAGCTACAGCTGTGCCCCTGGGTGCTGCTGCTGCTGTTGCTGCTGCTGCTGCTGCTGGCAATGGGAGTGGCAGTGGGAGTGCCGCTGTGGGTGTGCCTGTCCTGGAAGACTCGCAGTTGTCGTCCTCGCGGATGGGCGACACCACCCTGGATCGCATGCTGGACGCCATCATAGAGTCGGCGCGCAAGGAGGTCCGCTGCAAGCACACAACAGCAGCCGCGGCTGTTGCAGCCCCAGTGGCAGCCACCAATGTGCTGGCCGATTGCGGGGAGTGGAGCGAGAGCAGCGTCCACGAGATGGAGGTGCGCACACCCACCCACCTGAAGCGGCAGCGGGTGGTGCGGCGCAAGAATCCCCACAAGACAGCCCACACGGCCACCAGAGATGGCCAGAGCCGGAGTCGCAGCCAGGGCAGGAGGCACAGCGCAACGCCAGTCCAAATGGAGCATGTGCCCAGCACGAAGCGCTGCCTCAGCTTCTCCAGCTCCACGTCCAGCGACCTGGACGACGATGAGCAGCTGGCCAAGCGCAGTTCGATGGCCTCCACCACATCATCGAGCCACTCCAGCGCCGCCGGCATTGACAGCCAGCGGGGCAGCATTGATCTGAGCATCGTCTACGATGCCCAGCAGCGACAACTGAATGTACACGGTGAGTCCCAAGGCGCATCGATTGCGGTAGGTCCGTGAAAGCACTCGCACCTTCAGGTGGATAGGAGAGACCATCAGCTAGACTCATCGGCTAACTCTCTCCCTTTCTCTCTCTGCCCTTTTAGTCATTCGCTGTCGTGACTTGCAGCGTTCTCATGGGACTGGCACTGGCGTTTATGCCTACGTCAAGGTGGCCCTGGCACCCGCCCAGTCAGCTCAGCCAGCCATGAACTCGGGCTTTCAGCGCACCGCCGTCCACCGTCACTCGAGCCGTCCGTACTTTGATCAGCGCTTCAGCTTCCCCATTCCGCAGGAGGAGGACTCGTCCAATCAGCAGCTACAGCTGGCCGTATGGCATCGGGATCGCCATTTAAAGTGAGTACGAGTAAGGTCACAAAACAGTTTGTCAAAACCCATTACTGAGCCCCAGCTCCTGGTGTCCTGTGTCTCAATCTCATCTTGAGCCCATGTCATTCACCCTCAATTGTAGGGTGGGGACTGGGTGTTGGGGGGGTTGGAGTGCTTGGAAGTGAAGAGGGTTGAGCACTTGGAGCAGGCAAAAGACTAAGGTCTGGGCGTCTGGTTAATTGTAACGTTTTGCTCAGGCCTCGTGGAACTTATAGCGCCTGCTGCTTGCTGCATTTCCTGCACATAAACAACCCCATTCCCAGTCCCCGCCATAGCCCCCACAGTGGGTGCGGGTTGCCCGAGGGCCATGCATGTACGAGCATGTTCCATCTACCGTCCACATTTCACATTTCACATTCCACATCCAGGTCATGCGCAGTGGAGCGCCTTTTCCAGCGACTTTCGACTACAAATTTCTGGGCTGACCTGCGCCGCGGCCCGCCAGTTCTCCAGTTCTCAGTTGGAGTGCCAAGCTCGCGCGACGCTAAACAGCAGCACCGTGCAATAAAAGGGCCAGGCCACAGAGCACAGAGTATCGGAGAAGCATCGAGTAGCGGCAGCGGCAACGGCAACGGCAACGGCCTGGCAACGCTCGAGCAGCGAATGTGCTAAAAAGTGTGTTGGACATCCGCAGATTCCACTTGGCACTTTGATAATTGTAACTTCCATTCATATTTATTTGATTATTTTTGTTCGAGTTCTGCTCCGACATCCGACATCCGGTGTGCAAGTGTCAGTGTCCGCGTCCGCGTCCCAAGCCCCCAAGGGGCGGGCAGGCAACATCGAATTATATAACTGTGTGAGTGAGGGCCGCATGGAAAGTGTAGCATACTTTTGGGCATGCTGCTTAATCGAATGCGAACAGGAAGTGCTCAGCTCTCGCTGTGATGTGTGAGTGTGCGAGTGTGCGAGTGCGTGTGCGTGTAGCAGGAAGTATGACAGACTCGACAAACGTGCCGCTGTGAGTCGTGGAGCAAAAGTTAATTGAAATTCAAGGACAAGAAACCCATTTACCACTGCAGTGCCGAGAGAGAGCGAGCGTCGCCACTTGACCAGTTTGTTCTGTTTGCAGTTCTAGCTTGTGGCACTCCAACTGGTTGGTTGGTTGCTGCCATTTGATGCCAGATCGATTTGGTTAGCGATTATGCAATGGTCACCCCCATTACACGCAAAGCACACACACACACACACACACACACACACACGCTGGCCCGCGACATCCAACACACAGAGTCCAATCCTTTCGCTGACGGACAACTAATTGAGCTGAGCCAACTAACTAAATGGACACCCGGGGAATGTCGGCCAGCTGCCATTTGCCATTCCCATTCCCATTTGTCTCTCTCTCTCTCTCTCACTCTCTCTCGCTCGCTCTGTGGCAGAGTCGCTCGTATTTGTTATGCATGCATAATGTAGCACGCACAGAAAAGCACACACATCGAAGAAGACAGGGTAAATGTGTAAATTGTGAAAATAGTTGGGCCAAAGGACTCGTTTTCGAGCGCTTTAAGTCAATTTACAAAGCGACTGACGGCTGAATTATTCATTGCCTGCTTTTCGGCGAAGCCTTCTACCTTTCGCAGTCCACAAACGGCCTCCTTCCTGTCTCTGCCACTTCCACTGCCGCCCTGCCTCTCTGCCACTATTCGCATTACATTTTTAATGCCTTGCCCCCATTTTGGGCCACTCTTGAGTGGGCGGTCCTTGCCTTGCAGACAATCGCGATTGCAATCGCAAAAGAGAACCCCAAAACAACAGGAAAAACAGAAAACAGAAAACAGAAAGAACTCCACTCCACTCAACGTACTTTATACACTGCCAGCCATCACCGACCACAAAAATCAATAAAAGTGACCCAAATACGCGCGCCAACTCCAGCTAGAGTGTCGGCAACTGAAGCTGAAGCTGAAGCTGAAGCTACAGCTAGAGCTGGGAGTGGGAGCCACAGCTAAAGGACGAGCCACAGGATATGTAGATAAAGCTAGCCGCTAGCACCACGCAACCACCCATCAAAATTGGCCGGCCAAAGCGCATTTCCGGGCCATGTGGAATGTGGCAAAGAGAGAGAGATAGAAAGAATGTGACGCCAGCTTAGAGCCGCTAATTGATTTATGTCACGTACGATGGCCGCTCTCTCACCCAAGATAGTGGCAACCTAGGGTTAGGGCTAGAAGGTGAAGCAACAGCGGAAGAGGAGGCGGAAGCGGAAGCACGAAGATTGCCTGACCGAACTAGACCAGCGACCAGGGGCCTATAAATAAACCATTGAAATGCCAGTGCAACGTGACGCACAGTGTCCAAAATTGTTATTATACAATCAGGGCTTTACCTAACGTTCCGCACATGTTGGGGCAGATCCAATCTTGCAGTCAAATGTGCTGAGAGTGTGGGCTAAACAGTCGAAAGGTGTTTGAATATCTTTGATTGGGTGAATCATTCATGGGCTCAAACTGGAGAGCAAGAACCTTTCTTTCCAATGCATAAATGATCATTTAATTGTTTATTTTGTTCCCCTTCCTTACTAAAGATATTTATTTTCTCTCTCTTGTTGCTCCCACAGACGCAGCGAGTTCCTGGGCAGCAGCACCTTCCCGCTGAGCGAGCTTCTGGCGGAGAGCCACAGCGTGAGCGGATCCTACAAGTTGCAGTCACAGTCACAGTCGCAGTCGCAGGCATGCCTTAGTAGCTGTCGCAGCAGCAGCAGCCGGAGCAGCAATCACGAAGAGCAGCAGCAGCAGCAGCAGGAGCAGGAGCAGCAGGAGCAGAAGCAGCTGGTGCCATCACTGGCAGAAGGTTCCGATATGGCCACCACCACAGCCACGCCACAAAAGTCGTCAGCAGCGGCTGCGGCGGCAGCAGCAGCAGCAGCAGCCATGAACCTGGACGAGGTCATCAGCATCAGCATCGACAGCATGGCCGGAACGACGACATTGGGCAGGGACGAGTGCCTGCTGCAGCCGCAGCAGCCAATGAAGCTGAGCAAGAAGGCGCTCCATCAGCGGGACGCGGACGAGAATCTCTTTCTGCGCTTCCTCGAGCTGGATCCGCCTGCCGATGGCAATGCGAACAGCACCACCAACGCCACCGTCGGCGGCAACAGCACGTCCAGTGGGGCGGGAGGCGGAGCAGCGCCGAGTGGTGGGGCAATCGCCGCAGCCATCTGCAATGTGAATGCCAATGTGAGCAACGCCAATCACCTGAACGGAGCCAGCGGCAGGCGGCAGTCGACCATGGCCAGTGGGGGTAGCGGAGGGAGCGCCGGCAGTGGACAGCGATCGCTGGGACGCACACCCTTCACGATGACACGGCGACTGACGCGAACGGAGGAGCGGGGATTCGGCTTCTCCATTGTGTGGACGCATCCGCCGCGCGTCGAGAAGGTGGAGGCGGGCATGTCGGCGGATCGGTGCGGCATCCTGCCCGGCGACTATGTGATCTTCGTGGACAAGCACAATGTGGTCACGATGCCCGAGGCTGATGTTCTGAATTTGATACGATCGCAGGGCTCGACCTTGACGTTGGAGATATTCAGAAGGTCAGGCGCGGGCGCCACAATGGCCATTGAGACAGCCACCACAACGGCAACAGTCGCCGCCGCCTCCCTCTCCACATCAATGGGAACAGCGGGAACTGGCACTGGCACGGGATTGGGAGCAGGTCTTTCCCTCTCCTTGGGCAACTCCAATGCCAATGCCATCACACAGCAGCAGCAGCAGCAGCAGCAGCAGCAGCAATCCCGTCAGCAGCTGGTTCTGGGTTTGGAGCGTGAGGATCTAAGCAGCAACACGACAAACATGATGAGCTGCTCTCTGCAGCGGACGGGCAGCTCGAGACCAGCCACCCAGCCACAGGCGCAGCTGAGCAACAATTTCTCGCGTCCGGCGACCGCCTGCTCCGGCACCACCTCCTCCATTGAGGCCGCCAAGCGGCGGCTCCACCTGCCTCAGGTCACCTTCAGCAAGGAGGTAGGCAAGGGCGTTTTGGTCTAACCCGAATAACCCGATTCGATTCGATTCGATTCCCAATCACCAATCCCAGGGGGATTTCCCGCATTGAGTTGCAACCACATTTTTTTTTTTTTGCGTGTATTTCTTTTCTTTTGTTGCCATTTGTACATACTTTGCAGACCGTTTATTGTTTAGTTGTAGAGTTTAAGCTATCGCCATGCTGGCTATCATTACGTACTATTATTAATCATCATTTTTTTATGCCCAACCCAAAACCCAAGCCGCCATTAGGAAACAAAAATTAAAATAAAAACAAACGCTTGACAATAAACATCTTTTTTTTCTACATTTTATTTGCGTTTGTGTTGAGTTATTTCTTTATTTGTATTAAACAGAATGGAAGGGTTTTTATTTATGTGCTCTGTAAGGTATTTTATTGGTTGCCTTTTGTTGCTTGACTGCCAGTTATCTGTCCGCACTTTATAGCCCCATAAACCAGCTCGTATGTCCAGATATAGACTAGATGTACGACCGCTTTCCGCACCTAAATTACATAGTAGAAGAATTCATTTGGTCCCCATGGTAACCCAAAGCCAGGCCACAGCTAGAAATGTTCCTCAATTATCGTGCACCGATGGAGCACTTTCCTGCCTCCCGTTTTCATCGATTTGAATCCATTCAAATCCTTATTTATATTCAGACATTTTGTCATCAAACTTTTTGAATTTGAATCATCTTTAACACTCTCTCTCCCTGTCCAGTCGATTGTGCCCATAACGGACAATCGGCGTCGCTTCCTCCTGCAGCTGATTAGCCGGGAACAGAACTTCACGTCGGCCCTGCACTTTGGTGTGGAGCGGTTTGTGCAGCCGCTGCTGGAGCGCAAGGATCTGATATCGCCGAACGACCATCGGACGCTGTTCCAGAACATTGACGAGCTGCTGCGCATCGCCGAGGATATTCTAGAGCAGCTGTGCAGCGGAGACCAGCACCAGCACCAGCAGCAGGAGCAGGAGCCGCAGATGAACTTTGCCTCGAGGGTGTACCTGTCCAAGACGACGGCCATATGTGCGGCCTACAAGAAGTACTGCAACGGCATCAAGCGGGCCGACTGCGTGCTGGTGAACAAGTCGCGGCAGACGGGCTCCGAGTTCATAGCTTTCATCACGGAGCCGGTGGTGCCGCGCAAGCGTCCGGATCTCACCATGTTCATCCACCGTCCGCTGCAGCACTTTCGGGAGATACTCAAGCTGATGCAGCTGCTGGCGAGCAACTGCCACGTGGACACCGAGGAGCACAAGAACTTCAGCAGCGTGATCGGGGAGCTGCAGGCGGCCTACCGCGAGATCACCGTCAGCAGCGGCCTCATGGAGCCCCTCGGCGAGGGCCGGCCCCTGCTCACGCTCCAGGATCTGGAGTCCCGCATGGTCTTCACCAAGTGCAAGCCGTTCACGCTGGCCGTGCAGGGTCGCCAGTGGATCTTCGGCGGTGATCTGTCCCGCGTCGAGGGTCGCTCCATCAAGCCCTACTGGACGCTGCTCTTCAGCGACATCATCGTCTTTGCCAAGGTTAGCCGCGACCGGGTGCTCTTCATCACCGAGGAGCCCGTGCCCATAGCCAATGTTGTCGACTCCTGTTTCCACATGCGCAAGAAGAGTGAGTCCCAATCCCACGCTCCCCCTGGCAGTTCTTATTTCAATTTGTTTTGCCTCCCCCACCTGCGGCAGCCACCGAGTTCCGTTTGACTGTGGATCCGAATGGGCGGCTGGCCGAGAGCCCCACAGGCTACTGTGCGCCCGATCTGAGCCGGACACCGAGGCGAGGGGCCCGCCGCAAGAGCCTCATCCTGCGCGCTCCCTCCCTCGAGCTGAAGGCCGTCTGGCAGAACCTGCTGCAGCGCCAAATGTAAGTCTTTGCCTCTCCCCACGCCCAACTCTAACCCAAATCGAACCCCTGTAGATTTCTGGTGAATGCGGCACTGGGCTCAACGCCCCTGTCCAGCCCGCTGGACTCGCCGGATGTGCTGAACACGCTGGTGCCGCTGAGTGATATCGGCATGACCTCCGCCTCGATGGCCTCGATGAAGCTGCCATCGCTGGACAGCATCAACCTCAAGCAGCAGAAACAGCAGGTGCGTCTCTTTCGTAGCAAGCGCCTGGACAGCGGCGATTCCTACGAGAATCTGCAGCGACTGGCCAGCGCCGTGCGGCATAGCTGCGCCACCAGCACCACCGCCAGCGCCACAACCAGTGCCTGCGCCGCCACCCAGACGCCGCTGCAGTCGCAGTCGCAGTCGCAGTCGCAGCTTTGCTCCGCCTCGCTGCCCTCGCGCACCACGTCACCAGCCCGGCAGGGCCTGGGTCAGGGCCATGGTCATGGCCACTCGAATGGCTCCTGTGGCGGCTCTGTGCCCAATGGTGTGGGTACCACGGCAGCGCTGGTGAGTGGCGGGGCGGCGGCCTGCGACAGCTCGCTGCGGCGCTTCAACACGAACAGCTCCTGCCTGAGCAGCAGCGGCAGCCTGACGGGCCCGGGCACGGGCACGGGCACGGGCCACACCCACACCCAGACCTCGGCCCCATCCCTGTCTCTGCCCAGCGCCAGCTGCAAATGTCTCACGGCCATTCCGGAGGCAAGCATCGAGCCCCCGCCCGTGCCAGTGCCCGTGGCCACGCGACCGCCCTCACAGAAGCTTCTCGAGTTCAGCCTGAGCTCGGTGGGGCGGTCGTTCATCGACGAGGCTGCCATTGGGGGGGTCGGGCAGGTGTCGCTGACCACCCCCGAGACGCCGACGCCGAACATTTCGCCCAGCTCGCAGCAATGCAACTCGGACGCCTTCTCGAATGACTTTGTGCCGCCGGCGGGCGGGCGGGCGACGAACATTCCGCTGGCCGAGTTCGGGGGCTCGTGGGATCTGCTGGAGCTGGACCTGCAGCTGCACGAGGTCAATCTGGATCCGTGCTACGACACGGATGTGGAGGAGTGCATCTTCCTGGGCGACGGGGACCGTGTGGGCATCGAAGGCGCGGACAATCCCGACGGGGACAATGACGAGGACAGCGACGAGGACAGCGTGGTGGTGGACGATGATCCATTCGGCATGCTGCCCACCAAGCCCACGCCACCGGACTCACTGGATCTGTGATTTGACTTTTGGCTACAAACGGACTGTAACGCCACTGCGACGACAGTGGCGACAGGCGATGACGATCCCTTCCCGACCCCCCAGCACAATCTTTGAATCGACGAGCTTAGACAAAACTACCACTGATCTACCCCTTACCCTCACTCTTATCTCTCTCTCTCTCTCTCTCTCTGTCGCTGTTTATGTCTCTTGCTACCTCATCGCCTGATCCCTCTCTATCTCTCTCTTGATTGCTCTGCTTGTGGCGCTGCCCCTGGCGCTGCTTCTGGTTGTGCTTCTGGTTTTGGTCAACTCCAACACCAACTCCAAGTCCAAGTCCACGTCCCTCTTTGCTAGACTTTGCAGGCAAACACTTTGAAGTTCGTACCACCAATTACAATTATGTATCTCTGGAGCATTGTACATAAATATTTATGTAACCTCCGCCCTATATACAACTCTCCATCTGACTCGCTTTGCGCATTGTGTATATAAATATTGATATTGATATCTATATACTTTTACTCTCCTCGTAATCGTGTTTGCTCCCTCCAAGTCGATTCTGAATCGAGTGTAAATATTATCAAAAAGAAGTTGCCGCAGATGTTAATTCAATGATGATAATTCCATGTTGTTTGTGTAGCACTTAATTCTTACATAGTTATATACAATATACCTTCCTTATATACATACCTACCTACTTAGAGTACATTTGTTAGATTATAGCCATACCGTATATAGATTTAGCTATAGCTAGTCAAATATACAAAACACCCGCCCCAAAAGCGGATAGCAAAACAAAAGCAAAAAAGCAAAAGCTCCGCACAGACACTTACCAGCCAGTGGCTGGGTGCATCGTTTTTAATGACCTAATCGTATATTCCATACTCCTAATCGCTCCAATTCGTATTATCAAATTTTCGATTGAAACTTTTCTGCCAATCCAGCAACAAAGTGAACGAAACCAAAGGAATTATTAATATCTAGTCTTTAAAAAATGCTTCCATTTTGTAGCCAAATTGAAAACTTATTACTGTTATTGCTGTTGTTGTATTACATTAGCCTTGATCTAGTTGTACATCTAGATGGGGTTGCGGGACTCGTACTCTAAGTTTACCATTAGCCAAATATTGTTGCCATTCCTAGATTCGATTCGATACTCGCTGATCCTTCTCTTCCCCGAATCCTAAATCCCTTAAGTTCCACTCGAAAAGCAATTGAAATTGTACAAACATTTCCCCCATTTCCCATTTCCCATACACAGTACACATTTCCACATGTATAGTACCTAGTATAAACTTATGTCTATAGCTGTAATCGAACTTTGCTCAGTCGCAGGGCTCTTGGCTGGATGGAACCCCTTGCATACTCGTACATGTATCTGATGTCAATTATCAATGACAAGCACTTTGTTGCCTTTTAAAAGCAATCACAATCCCAACCACAATCATCCGCATACATCCATCCCATGTACATACATAGATATTTTTAATATCCATAAAACATTCATTTTGGGGGCTCGCACAGTGGGGCAACGGTTTTCATTCTGTTTGTTCCTTGCGGAATTTTTGAATCTTTATACCCGTCTTTGGGCACCGCTGTGCGAGCTCTGTTGGGTGTCGACGCTGTCCAGCCAGGACTTGAAGCGACTCTTAGCTAGTCTCTGGTCTAACCTCCATATATATATATATACACGCACACACACACCTGTACATCTGTGGCAAGTTTTAACAGACTGTGCGGGACTGTGTCCGGCTCGGTTTTTGGGTGTGCCTTGAGCAATAAGCAAAATATCTCTCTATACACCATATACACACATACAAAGGTATACATATGCAGTCTATATACATATATATATATATATATACATCTACATATATATATTGGTATTCATATTCATATTGTGTAATCTGTATGTACGTCTAGAACTTTTTGATTTCATGTTTTTTGCCACTTTACATAACACGAAAGGAATCGATATCGATATCGAATTCGACATCGACTTCGACTTCGACTTCATGCAGTTTGAGATTGAGATTGCGATGAGAAACGAGATGCATTCAAATAATAATAATAAAAAACAAAATGATTCTTTGACTAAAAACGCTTGTGATGTTCTTTTTATTTCATTAAAAAAAAAAAATCAAAAAATACAACAAAAAAAAGAGTAAACCAAGTAGAAACCCACCGAGCACTCATTCAAAACGTTGCCCAATATCGCTCCGCATTTATCTAAATCCTGGTCTAATCCTGGTCCTGTGCTTACATTAATTGGTCGATCCAAAGCAAAACCCGAAACATGATCAATATCCCAGAGATGAACAAAACAAAACAAAAGAAAGAAAAAAAACAAAAGAAAACAAAACCAAAAGAAAACACACAAGGCAAAAAAGAAAACCAAAATTGATAAATTAAAAATTGTGATGGACTCAATTTTAGTTTTAAGTTCGAATTGCTTCTTCTAATTCTTCTCCAACTTCCAACTTCAACTTCAACTTCCACCTCCAAATCTATAATCGCTTATTTGTTGTTGTCGTTTGTAACTGTAACTGTAACTGTACCCGTACATATCCCGTTTACCGTTACTGTTTTTGTAGCCGTTAGTTGTGCTGTTTTGTATCCGCCATATTCGTTCTGTGTTTTGTGTTCGCCCCACAACCTTCCTTCCCTTCCACTAGAATATCCAATTTACAATTCCTACGAGCAAGAGCAAGAGAGCAAGCGTTTTTAATCAAAGCAAAGAAGGACAAAGAACAAGTTCACGGTCTCAATCGTATTATTATTTCCGTTCCGTTTCTCCGTTGAATCGATCAAAGATCTCAGCCAGAAGTCAAAAGCAAAATCAAAAGCAAAAACTAACCTCAAAACTCAATGCAAAAGCAAAGCAAAGCAAAGCAAAAAGAGAAACAAGAACAATGAGAAAGCGAAAGCGAAAGCGAAAGCAAAAGCAAATCCAAGCAATAGCAAAAATGCATGCGTAACCCTACTCCAGCTTGGAAATCATTTCCAAAAGTTCCAATGAGCCCATCACAAATTTTAATTTGCCAAGCAGCGTTTGGGCAGCGTTCGGGCAGCGGTGGTGGGTGGATTGGTGGGTTTGCGGGCAGTGGGCTGTGGGCTGTGGGCTGTAGGTGGTGGTGTTCCTGTTCCTGTTCCTATTTCCAAGGCCAAGGCCAAGGCCAAGCTGGTGCCTCGTCAAGGTAAGAAGCGGTCCACAGTCATTTACCCCCACACATTATTTTTCCAGCAGCGTAACAGCTCTCACGGCCATGGGCACACGGGGCCAGGTGCGGCCGCCGCCGGTAGCCACGGCCATGGACACACACACGGACATGCCGTGGAGCAGATCGAGCTGCTGATCGACGAGAAGTGCCGCATCCTGAACAAGACCGGCACACCCAAGTCGAGCGCTCTGCATCTGGCCAACTGGATGAAGGGCCAGCTGGACAAGCAGCAGCAGCAGGCCCGACTGGCGGCCATTGCCCGCTCGCAGGAGAACATCACCGCCGAGGACGAGCAGCTGATCTTCAACAGCGACAGCGAACAGGACGAACGCATCACATACTGGACGCGACAGCAGCTCGAGAAGCGCACCAAGGAGCTCAACCTGGCAAAGGAGAACGGCGTTCTCTCTGCCAAGCCCAACTTCGGTGGCAAGCGACTCAGCGGGGTCGAGGAGCTCAGCATGAGCGCCGCCTCAGACATCTACTCGGAGGCGGAGGCGGCTGGCCACAGCCAGATCAGCCAGTCCCACAGCACCACATCGGACAGTCAGGTGAGAGCAAGTCTGCTGTGCAGCTGCATCCACGTGCTTGATCCACATGAGCCACACCTCTCCTATCCATTTCAATAAGGGCTCGGCACGCAGACACTGAACTGTTTTAGTGCCTGCGCCCGTCGCGAAACCAAAAACGGTACTTGCTTCTCTGCCGCTGCGGCAGCCGAGCCTTCTTCTGGCCATACGAAGTTCTTTCTCTGTCGCTGCGTCGGTTCTATGTGCATGTGCCGAAGCCACGTGAAGCATTTACGCTGTGCGTGCGCCGACAGCGCCGACAGCGCTGCCCGAGAACTGTTACGACGCTGCCGGCTTCTGATTGAAAGCACTCAAAGCAAAACTTACATAATTGTATAACTCCTGCCTCCTAGTAAAAGCTAATCCCTGCTCTATATTCCGCTTCATCCCTCCTGCTTCACCATTTAGATAACGGTACGCTCGAGCCCCATTGTGCTGGACAAGCTGGCCGTTTGCCGACACTGCCACAAGAACTGCCAGCAGAGTGGCGCCGGCGGCGGCGGTGGTGTCGCTGGCGTCAATAACTCCAGCTCCACGCCGGTGCTGCTCTGCAACTCCCTTAAGGTGCAGCATAGCCAATCCTCGCCGAATCGATGCTGTAAGCTGAACGGTATAGCTGGCGGATCGGGCACGGGCACGGGAGCTGGCACCGGCACCGGCACCGGCACGAGCAGCGTGACCAGCATGTCCAGCAGCACCATCACGGGGGAGCTGTCCTCGAAGGTGGTCGCCAGCAGCAGTCGCCGGGAGACCGGCGACACGGAGAGCGACGTGGCCCAACTGATCACCGATGAACTGTCCCTCTCCCAATCAGAGGCCACGGACGAGAGCGTTGGCGCCATTCCCAACAGCAGCAGCAGCGCCGGAGACGGCTCCAAAATACGAATTCTAGAACCTCAACCAGCGGCGGTGGCATCGTTGGCATCGGTGGCATCGTTGGCCTCAGGGGCAACGGTGACTCCACCTATGGCAAATGGCCACTGTTCAGGCGGTTCACCGAAACCCTTGCCACCACCACGACGCACTCGAATCGTGGCCCAGATGTGCCAAGAGCCTGCCCGGCCACGGGCAAACCAGCAGGTCAAGGCCATAGTGACGATCACGGAGACGGCACGGATCATGCGCAGCAGCGAGCGCACAGCCCACTCCGTGGGATCGGGCGGATCGGGCTCGATGTCGGGATCGCCAGCCAAATATGCCGCCTGCCACTGCCGCTGCACTCCTGAGGACTTTACGCACGCCCAACTCTCGCCGGACAAGATGGAACACCAGACCTGCAAGCTTCTGGAGTCGCCCAAACAGACGGCAACCACCACATCCACATCCCCACTGACAGCGGCCCAGCGGCAGGAGGATGAGCAGTTGTCGCTGGTTTTGATTGGACTGGCCCAGTTTGCGCCGGCAGCCAAGCTGTGTGGGCAGGCGCGGGCGCGGGCTACACCTGCACTGCTCCAAGAGGGACAGAGCAACAGCGAAGATAATTCCACACCTACGATAGCCGTGGTGCCACCCACGCCCGATGCCGTTCTCACCAAGACGAGCACCAATGTGTGGGACAATAGCGGAGGAGGAGGAGGAGGAGCTGGATCTCCTGGAGCAGAAGTGGCCACCAGCAGCACGACCACCACCACGACGAAGCAGCCACGGCAGGCGATCATTGAGAACATACCCGAGGACTCGTGCGACGAGTCTCCGTTGGACGAGGAACCTCCGTACAGGCCCATGACCAATGCCCTGAGGCGTTTCGGCACCATGTCCAGTCTGGAGAAACTGCCCTCCGACGATCGCATGGATGAGGCTGACGAGCTGGACGATGACCTGGAGCCCTACACATCGAATGGCCATGACGACAGCCCCAACAACGATGATGACAGGGATGGAGACGAGGATGATGAGGACGATGCAGCCTCGGACAAGGCGCTGGCCCAGAACCTCAACGAATTGGTTGGCTGCTCCAGCTCGACTGGTGCCATGGTCAACGGGGATGTGCTGGCCAGCGGAGCCTGGACCAATCGAGCTGGGGCCTTTGTCTCCGACAAGATGTCCTTTTTCGAGGAGTCGCGTGCCTTCATCGACAAGTACTTGGGCCGCTGGAATGCCGAAGATACCCAGGAGCAGCCGCAGCAGACGGCCACCTCCGAGACGGACGAGCAGATGGACGAGTGCACCTCGGGGGCGACCAGTGGCGAGGAGGTATGGGGCACACCCACCAGCGGCGGGGACAACGAAGACAACGACATGCAGCTGATCAACTCGGAGAATACGCATTCGGTAAGAGATCCGAACCCGAGGTAGTCAGGGCTTTCTTTTCAATTTATTCGACTTTCAGTCACCCACCAAGTCGAGCACCTCGCTAAACGATGACGATGACACGGAGCTGATGATGGACGAGCTACTGATGGCGCCGCCTATGACGGCCAGCACCATACGGGGACTGCTGCCACGGTATGTAGGGTGAAGTGGAGACCCCGAGCTATATTATGAGACACACACACCCACACACACACACACAGCTGGTAGAGCCACTAGACTAGACCCATAAGCAGCCGCAGTAAACCCATTTACAACTCAATATATCGTATCAATAATATATATATATATATAGACGAAACTCTAGAGATAGTAACTCCATTAACCAGTAACCCTACTCTAACTAAGTAAACGAATTCTCTTCTTTTGTGTATTCCTTTGGACACTTTCTTTCGTAGCTTTTACAGGTGTTTTTTCTTTCGGTTCCATTCGTTTCGCCCAACCACAGACACACCCACAACCACACCCAGCCACAATCCAATTCGATTCGTACTTCCATCCAAATATCTCTCTCTCTCTCTCTCTCTCTCCATCTCAAGTATTGTTCACTCATTTTCGGGTTAGTTTCTAGACCTATATATAGTGATAGTTATCGATCAGGATCGAGGACCAACGACCAACGGACATGAGAGGGCGGACTGTCTTTGTCTTTATGTAGTGTATACTTGTATAGCCTTTGATCGTATCTACTATCTCTCTCTCTATATATAAACCTACTACTAAGTTTGCTCTATTCAAAATTGATACATCATTTATGTTATAGACACACACATATCACATACACATACTCGTATCTTTATCGAAATCAAATCGAAACCAAACCAATCACATCGATCGAATATTGCTAAATTCAAATTGAAATTCGTTTACATACGCCATAACATACATCATACGTATTATCGAATCGTATCGAATCGTATATCGTAATCGTATATCGATACATGTCATGCTTAGACGTCGTCTTGAGCCCCTTTTCGAGGAGGAGACCGAGAGCGACGAAGAGAAAACCCAACAGGACAGCGATGACATCAAAAAGGTGGGTCGTTATTACAGCAAATCCCAAAAAGCAACACCAACAAAAAAACAAAAAGAACCAACCAAAGAAAAACCAAACTCAAACTTTCGTTGCGATTCTGCTGCATGGCAACACTGGCGCGGCCTGAAGCAACTGTACACCTCGAAACAATTGAGACAATAGAGAGTCTTCGGTGCACCGAAGCGGCAATGCACTTGCAAACAGCACAAATGCAAAAGCATATGCAAATGCAAATGCAAATGCAATTGCATATGGCCTCACTTTTGAAGAGGTATTCGTATACGCAAGCGATGATCTACATACATAATCCCACCTGCATGTAGCCTAAGCCAAGTCATATCGAATTTAGCTAACTGTCAATGAACACTCAACTCAATGAACTAACTTGAATTCACTTTGGTTTGTCTTTCTATTTTTGTCTATACTTTCATTTCCATATGCCACACCATCGACTGCAACTCGCAACTCGCAACTCGCTCTATCGCTCATCTACATTCATCGATAAACCCACCACCGCATCTTCGCACCATCATCATGAACATCAAACAATCGATCAAACGATCAATCGAACAATCATTTCTCTGCATACTCTGACACATTTTATATAAATATTCCAATTCAAATTTATTGTGTGTGTACATTGTACCTTTTTGTTTGCCTGTCGCAATCTCTCGCTCTCTTTGTATTTTTGATGTAACTTAATCGTAAACTTATCGTTCTTGTTATTGTATTCGTATCGTTATCGCTATTCGTTATCGCTTCCATATATGTATATTAGAAAGTCGTAGTGAAATTAGTGAAGCTTTAGCCAATCCTGCAATATTGCGAGCTCATTACCATCAGACGCCTGGACGGGGACGACAAAGACGATGACAGCGAGAACGATTGACGATCGCTCCACAATCAAATCAAATTGAACGCCAATCCCCAATCCGATAAATCAAAATTCCGTACTGCCAACGCACCGAACCGCATCCACTCAGAATCCACATCAAAATCAAAGTCAACATCAACATTCACATCCACATGAGGCGCAAACTGCAAGCAGGAAGCTCTATCCAAACCAGAATTGATTAGTTGAATTCTATTCCCAACAATTGGTAGGGGGAAGCAACGACAAATGGCCACTACCTAGAGGATTCAGCTGGAAGCTCAAGCGACGAGGCAGTCCAAGTGGTGCCGGATCGGGAGGAGGATCCGGAGGAGGAGCGGCTGGAGCTGGAGCTGGAGCTGCAGCTGCAGCTGGAGCAGGAGGCGACACAGGAGCATGTGGGCTATCAACAGCAGAGATTGCAACCGAATCTGGGGCCACGTCCATTGCTCACTACCATGCTGCTGCCCACTACGGCCATAACCACGCAGATGGAACCGTCACCACCACCACCACTAGCACAGCGAGTGGGTCCACTGCCAGTGGTGGGCTTATCCTGCGAGTATCTGCTCGATCAGCGCCCCTCTATACGCTCGACACCCGCATCGCACACGACGAGCTTGTCCACGATGCCAGCTACGATCAGCGGGCCAGGGACAGGGACAGGGACCGGGCCAGGGCCAGGTGCCGAGACAGAGAAAGGGAACTACACCACGATGCCATCATCTCGGCAGCCTCAGCCTCCGGCTGCAGCAGCGACAACGGGCAGGACGACGACGATGGCGAGTCCAGCTCCCTTGTCGACTACTACAACAATCAGCAGCGGGAGCGGCACTACGAGCTTCGGCGGCAGAGCCAGCGGCAGGCCAGCGAGGTTTATACCACCGCCGCCGCCACCGCGTCGATTGCTGCTCACGCAGACCAATCTAAGCGCTGCACCACCCAAAACGGTGAGTCCAACTCAAACTCTTTCCAACTCTTTCCTTTAACTTTTGATCTTACCCATCCGCAGGAGCCACCTCAAAGAAAATCTGGCGCTACTGCTGACAGTGGCTACTCGGCGGCTGTCGGCGACGTCGCCAGCGCTTCGGACCCAATCGCTATCGGGTCAAGGACAATTCCAGCGGCGACTACCAGCAGCTCTGTGGCGGTGCCGGTGCCGGTGCCGGCACCATCCCAAAAACGTCAATCATCAACGATAATCGAGACCTGCCTGCTGGGGGCACCCAGGCCCGCCTCAGCCACTTCATCAGCAACAGCCTCGAGGATACCAAAGCCGAGCCGTGCGAGTCTCGAGACCCCCCACCGTCAGAGCAGCCCGGCTATAGTGGGGCAGCCAGCGCCAGTGCCATCGCCAGCGGTGGTGCAGGTGGAATCGGAGGTGGCAACGACAGCGGAGGGAAACGAAGTAGATCAACGTTCGGGACACGCTGCCCCAGCGCCCCACGCTGGCTGCGGCCTAAGTCCAAGGCTGGAAATGCGGCTGGCCCTCAATCACGACATCCTCGGGGACGAGGACTTGATCTGCTACGAGCCTGGTCCAGATCTAACAACTATTCTGGGGTGAGTAGGGAGCTGGTCCTCAGCCCATTCTGTAGATGCTAATTTGAGTGTCCTGTCCTGCTGGCAGGCACGACCTCTCCACATTTCATCGTCTGACGGGTCGCGATTTATTGAGTCGTTCAGCCACGAATCGGGTGCAGCCAAAAGAGGCTGTCATATCGTACTCTCAACAACGCAACTCAAAGATGGACACGCCGACGGTGAACCGTCGTCCGCGTCCGGTCTCGGCCTCCGTGCAGAGCAATCACAGCAGCAGCAGCCACGGCAGTCCACGTACCGCTGGTTCAGCTCGTGCCGGCGGCGATCCACGCAGCAGCCAGCGGGCCAGCAGTCCAGGACCATGGACCAGTTCTGGCTATGCGGCTCGAGCCGTCGCAGGGAGCGCAAGCGGCGCCGACAGCAGCATCGCCTGCAGCTCCAGCAGAGGCGGGAGCAAATTAGGCGATCTGGAAATCTTAGCGAGACGCGAGAAGATATACTGCATGTCTCAATCGAGGAGTGGCTGTCAAGTCAGGGAGACATCCACGACCTCCACAACGATGGTCGCAACGATGACGGGGATGGGTACGGGGATGGGGATGGCGATGGCATCGAAACGCGACTCTTTCTTGCCCACCCAAGCAGTAGCAGCAGCTTCTCTGACGAGGACGATGAGTACTACTTCGATGGACGGAGTGGACGGAGCCACCAGTACCACAACAACAATGACTGAAGCATTCCTCGAAACGGAAGTGGGCAATTCGAAGCGATTGTGAGTATTCCGTGAACTGCAACAGCTTCCTGTGAAATACCTAATGACATTTCCGTGCTCATAGAATCAACTTTATTAAGCGTCGCAACTCTGAGATAACCGCTAGTAGCAGCAGCAGCACCCCCAACCACTCCGACGGAGCCCTTGGCGAGCAGCCCCAACCGAGCCAGACTCAGAGTCAGACTCCGAGTCACAGCAGCCTGCTGCCGCAGGGCACGTCTCAGGCGACCGAAGCCGCGGAGATGGCACAAATGTCGCCACGCAAGGATAATGTAAGATGATCCCTTACTACTACTACAGATCCAAGGATCCACTGATAAATACATTGTGTATCTTATGCAGGACAAGCCATCTCTGAATCGCCGCCTGTGGAAGCAAATCACCAAACGCCGACGCACCAACTCCGTGTCCCAAATAGTCGCTGGTTAAGGTGTCATCCCATTCCCATTGCCATTCCCATTCCCATTCCGCCTCCCATTTCCTACTCCCATTCAGCATCCAGCATAACCCCCTGCGATCCTTAGCCAGTGCATAGCTTATATTGTGTTCTGTGGGTAGATTTTAGTTAATCTTAAGTTGAGCACGACGGATCCGAAGGGCAGCCCATCAACTGGAGAACGGACTGGAGTCCGTGGCAGTAAGTTTGGCCTGTGGCCCTTACTGGACCGGAATTGTGTGGCTGCCACTCACCCAATGGACTGACATTGAGCAAAAACCAAACCGAAAGAAAAAACTACCAAAACACCAACAGCAAGCTAACAGGAAACAAGGGGGGAAAATATTAGAGCGGAGTACGAGTACGCTAAGAATTTTTGATACAACTTTGTAGGTAGTGAATTCCGGGTATCGATCACACCGAACACGGGCCACCCTAGGCGTCTGATTGCGTCCAAAATGAATCTCCTGCCAGCAGTTGGCAGTGCCAGTGGGGAGGCAGGAGGCCAAAGGACTCAGTCCAAGCCAAATACGATGAATAAATACGACAACGAATGGCAGTAAGATGAGACACTGAGGTGATGAAGGTGGTGGGGCACACAACAACACACACACACACACACACACACACATGCAATCCAGCCAAATGAAATAAGATTGTAGATGAATTGGAATGTTTACACTGAATATATTTTAGAGGAGAGATGGATACATAGAGCATTAATTAGCAATTATACGAGCAGGAGGAGTACGATTGGCCTAGCAGTTGGCTTGTTCGGGGTGGTAGGGGCTTTTGACATTTTGTGTTGTAGCGTTTAGTTCTAGTTCTCAATTAAACAATGAAATTGCCTTACGTATTCAATGAACTATTGTATTGGTAGCTTAAAGTAGTGAATCTTTATACATACATTTTACGCATTATTTTGCAATTGTCCAGCAATGTCAGCGAACAGCAACAGCAACAGCAACAGCAACAGCATCAGTAAAGCATTCCGCATTCAGCATCAGGCTTCAGCAGTCCGTAGCATTACGTCAATAATGAATTTTAATGAATTTATATTTCACATTTTTCTCAAAAACTATTTACAAATACAAGGAAACTTTTGCATCAGAGTCTAATACAAGTGTAGCGAAAACTTTGTAGTTTATTTCACATTGAAATTGATAATATGAAATCGAAAAATGTTTAGAATGCGATGGAGATGAGATGCCATGAACTTATACGAGTTAATAACGACAAACGAGATGAAGTACATTTATCAGCTTTAATAGAAAATCTAATAAATATATAAATATATATTATACATGAATCTAACTAGTTCTAGTCCGTAGATAACTAATTGATATACGAATTACTCTTGAATAGGGTGGAGGTGTGGACGTGTACGAGTACGCGATCGAGCTATTAGGCATTTACCAATCTCACACTCCTTGGGCCTTGGGCATGGCATACCCATTGATTCAGCACCATCTACACCACGTATCACGTACCACGAACAGTGTGTCTCAGTATTCAGTAACTTACTTTGTAAAACTCAAACACTGACACACACAAACAAAACCAATCCGATTACTCGAATTAGCATGTGGGTAACACTGATGATTTTTTTTCGGTCAAATATTGTCTTTTAGTGCAGATGTGAATTTTCCTCTTGAAATTCAATAAGAAATTCAATTATTTAAAGATGAAATTACTGAAAAACCAAAACATACAAATAATTCAATATACAATAAATCAAAATCGAAATCGAAAAGATCAACCATTGGTTTACATTTCCCGGGACATCTTACGGGGTGTGGGGTTTATGTTTTCATTTTTACTATTTTAGTGCATTCTTGTTCGTTCTCTTTGGCACATTTCGCTTGTGCATCTGGCTGGCTGGCAAATGGGAGCATCTGGATTGAGTGTGTGTCGATATTAAAGTCAGTACCTGAAAGTCCCTACATTTATTACTTCAAACAATCCATCTGCATGGATACCTCAGCTACATTTTCGGTAAGTTATTCTTTGATATTTATTTAGATCATTAACATTCATGGTTCTGGGCTCGATTATCCCTAAGGCATGCCCATGTATAGTGGGCCGATGCCAACAATTCCATTCTCATTCTCTTTCTCTATCCGGCAAAGCGATCAACAACAAGAACATTGAGCAAATTAATTGTAATTCCAGTGGGGCCCGAACCTGGGCTGGGCTGGGCAATGGCTTGAACTGGGCTGGGGCATGGGGCATGAAGCATGAGGCATGAGGCATGGGGCAATGGGCTGGGCTGGGCTGTGGTGTGTTGTGCTGGCCTAGGCAACGTGCGTGCAGAGAGCCAATGCACATTCCCATTAACAGACAGACGGACAGACGGACGGACGGGCGAATAGTGAGAGAGAAAGAGAGGAGAGCCCACGCCACACTCTCTGCAGTAGCAGCAGAGCGAGGTGAGGCGGCGCCGTCACAGCTGGTGCTGCCACTGGCGCTGCCTCTGCCTCGCCACAGAGCTTTGGTGGCGGCTCGACTCGCTCAGCTGAGTGCGAGCGTTTCAATTTTGAAACGAGTTCCATGCCGAACGGACGTTCGATCCGCGCCACTCTCGCTTTAGACCGGGCAAACGCTTCGCTTTGCATCGCATTGCCTGCCGTCGAGAAGAATTCGCCAAAGTCCCGTGCTCCGTGCTCCGTGCTCCGTGCTCCGTTGAACCGGCATTGCGGTTCATTTACATACATTACATGTCGCCCATTGGCTTTTAATTGGGCGAACGGTTGTCGTGTGCTCCCGTTGTTTTTTGTCGCGTGCTTGTGAGTGTATTTGAGTGTGTGTGTGTGTGTGTGTGTGTGTGTGTGCCGGCGTCTTGGAAAAATATACAAACATACATACATTCATATGCACATATGTGTGTGTGTTTGTGTGTGTATATTGCCTTATTTTAATTTTTTTTTTAACGTTCAAATCGATTTGAAAGTGCTTACCAAAAAAAGTCAAAATAGTTACCCCCAAGCGAGAGTGCAATAGAGAGAGAGATAGAGTGAGAGAGCGGGAGGAGAGTACTGCACTATATGCGAGTGTGACCACCTGTGTGCCAGTGTGACCATACCGTGCATATAGCTGCATGTGAACTAACGGGAAGTAGCGAAGCGCCATTAAGCCACATCAGCATCATCATCAGCAGCAGCATCAACGACGTCAGCTAGAACCATGAAGAGACCAGGCCCAAAGAGTCTGCTAATTGAGGTCGTTGTCTAGGTAAGTCGTCCCTCTATTGTGCCTCCTCTTCCTCTGCTGCTGCTGCTGCTGCCGCCTGCCTGCCTGCCACACTGCGCAGTTGCTTCCGTTTTGTGGCAGCTTTGGGACTCACTTACAACAGCTCCAACTGCCCTACCAAGCAGATCTGCAGATAAGGCCAGTCAAAAGACAGTGCACACAAAAATACACCATAAAACACCTCTCGGAAACTGCGGGAGGGGCAGGGTTGAATTCGCACAGTGGTGCCTGCCGTTGCAGTCTCCGAAATGCAGATAAATGAAAGCCTAACAAATTGTTGTTGTTTCTACCCTGTAAAACTCACTGTGGACAGGGGTATGCTGTCTGCGATGGCAAAGCTTTCAAGCTTTCTTTTACCTTTTAAATGAGTCCCAAATAAATCTCCCTAGCGGGTATGCTCTAGTCGTAATCGGCATCTCCACTTCTTTGCCTTTTTTTTGTGTTTAATTCATAATCGTACAAGAGAAATTTCCCAATAAGAAAGTTACATTGGACATCTTTTTGCCCCACAGTGTCATGCAAAAAGCGGAAAATCAAAATGACAGATTGAGTCGAGCTGCGTGCGGCGCTGTGCGGCGCTGTGCCCTCCGCTGAGGCAGCAGTGAAAGCTCCGCTCTGCTCTGCGTCAGCGTTTTCCTTTGCTATTTCAGCTGTGCTGACGATTCTGGGTGAGAACAAGAATTTCTGCCGCTGGCCATCTGGCCATCTCCAGCATTGATAATAATTATCCCACAGCTAGCTAGCTGGCCACATAACTGCCCCTGATGATGATGATGTTGATGGAATTGGTTTCGATGCCCAGCAACAGACACAAACCGCAGCGGAAACGCTTTTGGTCTTCTATTATCGCGCTTCCAACCATCCAACCATCCAACTATCTATCGATCAGGTCCAACCTCATCTGTCTAAGGTCACAGCACGGTGGCTAAATGCATATTAAGTAATTTCCACAAAGTGAGAAAGAAGCACACACAAAAATAAGCGAATAAACGTAAACATCCGTAGATGCTTGTGAGGGTCCATTTAGCGCATGTTTCCTTTTGGAAACATTTATATATATATATATTTTTTTTTTTGCATACACTGGCAGAAGGGGTAGTACGAGTAGGCAACAGTTTGAAGCCCATGATCGCGGCAAGGGTATCAAAAGATTCGACTTTCATGGCTGGTTTGAATGCTTGAGCAAATGGCAAGTGCAAAAATTAGTTGCGAAAATTGATTAACATCAAACTGGTTGGAGATGGTGGGGCTGTCGGTTGCCGGTTGTCGGTTGGCTCCCTGGCCCCGTGGCTGGATTGGTAAAATTTATGAAATTGCTGGTCAAGAGATTTTAATTGAATCTCACATAAAAAGTCAAGCGCAAAGATATAAAAATATATATACAGATACAGATACAGATAAACAAAACAAAAACGAAAGAGAATCATAATATAAATGTGGAAAAGGGGGAGAAAAAATATCAAATAAAAGCCAACGCAAACAAAAAAGTGGCGACAAAGACAACAGACACAGGGCCAGCCAGCCCATGGTGATGGTGATGGCTGATGGTGATGATGATGATTGGGACATGTGGCACTCGGAACTTGCCGACTCTGTATATACGTTGTATACATATTTATAAATATATATATGTATGTACACATATCGTATATTATTTGGCAACTTTTGCCCAAAACATTTCACTGGGAATCACTGAGCCGAGCCGCTGAACCGAGCTGAACTGATTCCGCAGATAAACTGGTTTCGCAGTTTATTGAATTTCATACATTTGCATCGTCCCAGCCCAACCGTCGAACAATAAACAATTTCAATAAGAAAACAAAAAGATGGACGGCTTTGACTGCCTGTCTGCTCGTTAAGTTGCTCCCAAGGTATTTGACCCATCGGTAGCTGTAGCTGCTGTCGCAGCACGAGTGCGCCGAGTGCTCGGTGGCATCCAGAACGGCAGTAGAATCAGTCACACCATTCTCACCGATGCGCAATAGGCAGACCGAGCAGAAAAGTTTCTTAGCAACCCCCTTCGAAGGAAAAAAAAGTGTCAGCAGCTGCCAGCGAGGGGCTTAAGGCCCACCAATTTAATTTGAATGGGAACCAGGGTATAGCGACAGAGACGGAGACAGAGACGGAGCTTGGGTCTTGGGTTACCCATTGAGATCCACACGCGCAATTCCATCCGCATCGTCATTCGCTCTCTTGGAACAGGAAGCAAATCTGCGCATTATTTGTCTACCCTTGCACAGGGCTTTATGTACATCCATCAACTTTTCCGACCCTCCACAGCAGACTGATGTTTGGGGATCCACTGTCTTAGTTTTGTTGTTGTTCCTATTTTAGCGATTCTCTTGCGGAGATTTCTTTTCACAGACTCTTCTTTTTATTGTAAGTGCAAGCTGTTTAGGTTGTTGGGTCGAAGCTGTCGAGGAAAGGCCGCTCGTAAACACACATCTAAGTGAGAAAAACCTCAGCTCGGATGGTAATGTCATTACAGTAGGAACTACGATTGCTCTTCATAAAATTGTTCGCATCCGATTCCGTTCGTGTGCCCATTTGGGCCCACTCTCTCTCTCTCCCCACCTGTCTGCCTCTCACTTTCGTTCGATTTTGGGCGCAATCATGTTAGGGCCTTTCTAAATCTTTAATGACTGGGGTAAGCCCCACAGTGCGCGCACAGTCTAAAGTCGATGATCCCCTTTTACCTTTGATATATGGAATTCTCTGTGGCCAGAGCGAGATGCGAGCACACGCACACACACCTCCCTCGTTAAAGACTTCCTCCATGAGCTCTGTGGGGGTATCATGTAATGCCTCCACCGGGCACCCAGGTACTTGAACTTCTCCGTTCCACTCGGTTCTCTTCGACTATGACGATGTGGCGAGCAATAACAATGGACTTCTTGTTCTCCTCCGTTCTCTGTTCTCAGTGCATTGTCTCTGATCCACTCCACAATCTCTCCCTCGTTTAGTCTCTCTCGCTCGCTGTCTCCTCTCTCGCTCTGTTACTATCTCTTTGCTTGCGCCGTACATGGCATAGTAATTAGAATCATGCACGAGCATGAATTGGTGTGGTGGGGTTTTGGGGTGGTATGGTGTCTGCGTGTGTGTGTGTGTATGTGTGTGTGCAGAGTTCGCTGACTGTATGGTAGTGTGACCATCCGCTCGGCTGCTGCTCAGCTGTAACGTCAGTGACTGCGACTGCGACTGCGACTGCGACTCGGCGGCGTCTCTGTCATTAATTTGGTTAGTTTGGTTCTAGGTAATTATGAAAGAAAGGAACGAAAAAGAGCAGCTGCGAGAAGAGATGGAATGGGTTACCTGAGCGCTGAGAGCTGAGAGACTCTCTCTCTCTCTTTTCTTTTGGCTCTGTGTGCTATTAATCACGGGAATTGGTCAGCTGAAAATTCAATTTCGTGGCCACAAAAGTCGACAAATTAACGTCTTTTTAATTGCTGTTGCTGTTGCTGTTGCTGTTGCTGTTGCTTTTGCTGGGGCCGCCACGACTACACTAACACACGAAGAAGCAACAACCAACATTCAGCACCAACAACAACAACAACAACAACAACCAATTGTCATGCAAAGTCATTGAACTCAAGGGGCCGACGTTGCCCCAAACAATAAGCAGCGAAAAAAAGAGCTTTTTAAGTGGTTTCTGCTGGTGCTGTGTGCCGGTAATGCTGGGGACATCCATATTATACAATACAATAGATCCAATCCATGCTGCTGATCCATCATCTATGCATGCATGTATTCCCCTCGAACAACAAAGTTGCATTCGCCTTTGATCGAGAGCAGCTTTGGACTCGGAGTGACCTTGACAAGGGCAAAAACGTCAAACGTGTTTACCAACAGTCGCCTCGAATAAACCGGTATATTATGAGCACGCCCTTCCCGCCTGCCCACCGCCTCACTGTCTCCCTTCATATATTGTATGTGCTGTATGCCTCCTCCCCCGCTCCAACCCACCACCCCTCTAAGCACACTTTTGCTGCTGTTTTGTTGATATTTTAGATCTTTTCTGTAACGCTTCAAAGCTTTTCACAACAAAATTGTCACACAAAATGGGAAAACGCAAATTGAAAAAATACACAAAACCACGTGCCAAAAAGAGTTGGGAAGGAGAGCAGAGGGGGGGAATGGGAAAAGTCACACATAGGGAAAACAAGAAGTGCAGCACTTCTCGTACTTATTATAGAAATCTTTAAAACCAAAATGAAATCATTTAAATAATAATAATGGGGTCAGAGTCAAAGCATAGCAATGGAGAAAGGACGGGAACCACCACCATGCCAGTGCATTTTCCCTTTCCGACTGCCCTTCGGCTCGCTTGTTTTATTGAGTATGAAAGCGTGAAAAGCTCAAACGAATTAAGGCAGTGTCTGCTGCAAGTGCTGTGAAGGGCTGGCTCCGTGTTGTGCAGTGTGGAAATGCACTTGAAGTAAACGTTTTATTAGGTTTCGTTTCGATATGCAAGAGCTCGAGGGGGGGGGCATATGGCCGCTGAGTTGGACCCGTCGAGCCGTGTCTATCCATTTGGATGATTTCTTTCGCTGGGGTAGCCCTTGCATCATTTTCATATTCTCACTTTAAGCTCTGTTTTGCTTTTGCTATTGTTTTCACGCGGTTTTGGCATTTGATTTGTATTATTACTTAATTGCGTTGAACCTGAAGAAGACTGGGGATTTATGGCCACTATTTATGCAAATCTTGTAGAGACATTTGCATAATATTTTGTGTAAATTCTGGTTTGCCTCCCTTTTGTTTCGCTGAAGAAATCAAAACACGCGCAGCCCAAACCAAAAAACAGTAGAGGAACCAAAAAGCTGACTTCATTGTCACCCAAAACAGCGTGTTGACATTGAAAATGGCCAGCAAAAAAAAAGAAAAGAAAAGAAATGACGGCAGAAGAAAAAAAAGAAAGAAAGAAATGCTCATGGATCGCTTGAAATGTGAGCGGCATTCGCATTGGGGCAAATGGGTCAGCG